CCAGCGCGTTTGGGAACAGCCGGCTGAAAGGAATCAGCTGGTCTCCCTGCCACCATCGTGCCGTCGCGCAGTATGATACGCTTCAGCTCCAGTGGACTGGGAGAGATAAGCCCACCACTCTGCTCCCTGAGACGCTCGGCGAGGCAATGGAAGAAGCAGTGGTTGTCCCCCGGCTGCTGGATGACCGTGAGCGGCACGCGAAGACAGCTCAGCACTTGCCTCAGTCTCATCAAGTCGCCCGAGAACTGCATTCCTGTCAGACTCGGCTCATGAAGGACAGCGGTGAGGTGTCTTCTCTCCAGGTCAAGATCAGCGCGAAGTCTCGGCTTGCGCAGCTGGAACTTTGGCGGCGCTCCTGTGGACTTGATATGGCGAGGGTTGCCGCGCAGCTGAGCTTGTTCCGCTGCTTGCGAATATTGCGCGACAACCTCACAAACATGACGTCCTGCAGCAGCTTGTTCGGCACCGAACGCAACGACTCCCGACTGACCGCACCTAGACAGACAATCCAAGCAGCGCAACGCTGATGATGTGTGTTCCTTCTCCCTGTGTCTCCCTGTCTCTGCTGTGCCCACATGCCCCTTGTCTTTCACGGCTTGTTGACCGCAGTTTCACAACACACGGTCAGATATCACAGAGCACGTAGCGCTTGCCACGATGCATCTTTTGTTTTCAGCTTCACGAGACGCGCAGTCAACCAGACGTCTCGTACCTTCTTAGTTTTTGTCTTCGAACGGCTTTCAAAGAAGGGGCACGCGTCGCAACCTTCTCTCCTCCTCTCCTTCCCGTCCCTTACGCTTACGTGCAGGTCGGTAGTACAGGCCTCGTGTACCTTCCCATGCCACATCTGAAACACATCAGAACCACACACCTGAGCAACGCGTCTCACCCTTCCCCGCCTATCAGCTCACCACGGTCGCAGCAAAACCCCTTCGGCTCCCCGCGCGTACACTTCAACAAACGGCACCCACCTGCTCACACACGAGCATGCACGCAGCCACACATCCATTCTTGCCATTCCTCCCGCCACTCACCGCATTGAATGACAGGCGAAGCAACCAACACCAAGAACAGCAAAGCGATTGCACGCGGGGGGCCACCTGGTTCTGCCAATTTGGAGTGTCTCATGTTCTTCGTCGTCATACGAAAGGAGAAAAAGGAAGAAAGCTCAAGAGCATGACCCAAGGAGCAGCGGTTTCGGCAAGCTTTCTGCGTTTCGTGTCGTGCGACCCGAACGCATAGGTGCTCCTTCTTCTCTCCTCCACCGCCGCGAGAACGCAATACTTACATATTTCCGTGGAGCTCCTCTGGCTGCATCTTCCTATACACATTTCCCCCACTGGAACGCGAGGTTTTTCCTTTTGCGGAGATCGACCTCTCACAGCATTTGTTAAAGGGGGGGAACCCTACACCCTGCAGGGCGAGCTCAGAAATGCCCGTGATTCTTCTTGGGAGATCAGTGACAGAGGAGCGCAGGCGACCTCAGTCCGCCACGGGCGTCCCCCAGTTTCCGTCTTATCGTGATTTGTGAGTCCAGGGCGGCAGATCTGCTTTAGTCTGTGTGAGGTGAGGGCCCGTCCAAAGAGGACAGGACACGAGAAGGTACGCGGGCAGGCGGAAAAGAGCAAGGGCGTCGTTGGTGGAGGAAGGGCCCTCATTTCTCATTGTGTGTGTGTCACTGTCAGGTCGTCAAGACGTAGTAGGACTATCTCTCTGTGTGCACCACCGAGCCCCACCCATGGCCGCACGACAACCAGCAGCTGAGCAGCAGCAGCAGGACGCCGCGGAGCCCCCGATGGACGTCGACGCCGTGCAGGAACTCCAGAGCGGCGATGAGCCTGACGGTCAGCACCGAACGCCGCAGCACTTGATTTGTGTCGATGTGTGTGCCCGTGGTTGATTGTGTTCAGGTGGAGACAATGAGGAGGGCGGTGGGATGGCCGATGGGAGCGAATCGGTGAGGCATTCATTCGCGGACACCCCGTCCGTCCATGTGACGCTCGTCACCTGGCTGTTCTCCCGTTGCCTCTGTGTCGCTGTGTCAGGGCGGTGGTATGCAGGACGACAGTGACGACGGAGGGATGCTGGACGAAGAGGACGACCAAGACGACGACAACGGGGACAGTAAGTGGGAAGACGACAGTGACTCACACAGCGACGGTCATGACGATGGCTATGAGGACGATGGTACGCCAGACAGACAGACACATGAGAGGGAGGGGGCGAGGTGCGGGCCCATACATGCATTCGTTCTCGGTGTGCGTCGTCTGATGGCTGTGTGTGTCCCACCAGGTCACTCGGTGGTGCCAGTCACCTCAGTCGACGTACCAGACGGCTTCTTGGGAGCCGATGAGCTGGAAGCTCGATTCCCTTACGGCACCAGCGACGTTACCAAGTCGCTGGCAGTGGGCGTCCTCGGCCGCACCATCCCCAGCCCACAGCACGTGACCGACCTCATCCAACAGGGAGCCAACCCCAATATCAAGCCTCAGCTGAGGAAGAAGGGCAGCAAGGTTGATGGGTTCGGCTACTCGCTGCTTACTCTTGCTGTCCACGAC